TGGCCTCATGTGTATAAATCAAGCACCTAGGCATGCAGACTGCTTCTACAAACATTTGTGAAAGAATGGGTCGCTCTCAGGAGCTCAGTGAATTCAAGTGTGGTAGGGCTTGTTCAAACTTGACTATTTCTAACTCTTGCCAAACGCCCCTATAGCATTTGCCAAGCATTAGACAGGCGTTTGTGAAGTGTTTTTAACGCTCCGCAAACGCTTCCAAAACGCCCTATGAGCGGTTTTGAGGCGGTTGATAGGCGTTTGCCAAGCGTTAAAACAACACCACAAACTCCTATAATTAAGTTTAAAATGGTATTAACGCTCCGCAAATGCCTCACAACCGCGTCACAAACGCCGGCCAGGCGTTTGCGGAGTGGCACCATAGACTTGAATGGAAGGCTTCAACTCCTCCTGACTAGACCAGAGGCATCAGTTTTGCCGTGACGCGACGCTAACGCTTCCATGTGAACAGCACTGTGTGCTGCCATGTGCAGAATTTTCAGAAGAGTTTGAGAAGCGTTAAAAACGCTTCCCAAATGCATGTCTGATGCCTGCTGACAAAGCTAGTGTGAACGTAGCTGTACTGTGATAGGTTGCCACCTGTGCAATAAATCTATCCGTGACATTTCCTTGCTACTAAATATTCCACAGTCAACTATTAGTGGTATTATAACAAAGTGGAAGCAACTGGGAACAACAGCAACTCGTAAAATGACAGAGCAGGCTCAGCGCATGCGCAGTGCGCAGAAGTCACCAACTATCTGCAGAGTCAATAGCAAAAGACCTCCAAACTTTGGATTAGCACAACAGTGCATAGAAAGCTTCATGGAATGGGTTTCCATGGCCGAGAAGCTGCATCCAAGCCTTACATCACCAAGTGTAATGTAGAGAGTCGAATGCAGTGGTGTAAAGCATGCAGGCACTGGACTCTAGAGCAGTGGAGACGTGTTCTCTGGAGTGACCAATCACGCTTCCCTGTCTGGCAATCCGATGGATGTGTTTGGGTTTGGTGGTTGCCAGGAGAACGGTACTTGCCTGACTGCATTGTGCCAAGTGTAATGTTTGGTGGAGGGATTCTGGTGTGGGGTTGATTTACAGGAGTTGGGCTAAGCCCCTTAGTTCCAGTGAAGGGTACACTTAAGGCATCAGCAAACCAAGACATTTTGGACAATTTCATGCTTGGATGCAGCTGTTTGGCCATGGAAACCAATTCCGTGAAGCTCTCTACGCACTGTTGTTGTGCTAATCTGAAAGCCACACGAAGTTGGCGACTTCTGTGCACTGTGCGCTTCAGCATGTGCTGACCCCGCTCTGTCATTTTATATGGCCTAACACTTCGTGGCTGAGTTGCTGTTGTTCCCAGTTGCTTCCACTTTGTTATAATACCACTAACAGTTGAGCATGGAATATTTAGTTGCAAGGAAATTTCACGGATGGACTTATTGCAGAGGTGGCAACCTATCACGGTACCACGCTTGAATTCATTGAGCATCTGAGAGCGGCCCATTACATAGTTACATATTTAGTCTGGCTGAAAAAAGACAAGAGTCCATTCAGTTCAACCATTAAAAAAAAAAAAAAAGTTGTAATCCTATACCCACAGTTGATCCAGAGGAAGGCAAAAAACCCAGCAAAGCATGATCCAATTTGCTCCTGCAGGAAAAAAAAATCCTTCCTGATCCCCCGAGAGGCAATCAAATATTCCCTGGATCAACTTTACCTATAAATGTTAGTATCCAGTTATATTCTGTGTATCTAAGAAATAATTCAGGCTTTTTTTTAAAGCAATCCACTGAGCTGGCCAGAACCAACTCTTGAGGGAGTCTATTCCACATTTTCACAGCTCACTGTGAAGAAACCTTTCCGTGTTTGGAGATTAAATTTATTTTCCTCCAGACGTAAAGAGTGCCCCCTTGTCCTCTGTGATGACCTCAGGGTGAATAGCTCTACACCGAGTTCACTATATGAACCACTGATGTATTTATACATGTTGATCATATCCCCCCCTTAATCTCCTCTTCTCAAGAGAGAATAAATTCAGTTCCTCTAATCTTTCCTCATTGCTCAGCTCCTCCATGCCTCTTATCAGTTTGGTTGCCCTTCTCTGTACTTTCTCCAGTTCCCCAATGTTCTTTTTGTGAATTGGTGCCCAAAACTGAACTGCATATTCCAGATGAGGTGTTACTAATGATTTGTACCGGGGTAATATGATATCTCTCTCTCTGGAGTCTATACCTCTTTTAATGCAAGAGAGGATTTTGCTCACTTTAGAAACCGCAGCTTGGCATTGCATGCCATTATTAAGCTTGTGATCTACCAGACCTCCCAGATCCTTCTCCATCATTGATTCCCCCAGTTGTACCCCCCCTAGTATGTATGATGCATGCATATTCTTAGCCCCCAAGTGCATAACGTTACATTTATCAACATTAAACCTCATTTGCCAAACAGTGCATTGAGGTCGGCTTGTAAATTGGAGACATCCTGTAAGGACATTATTCCACTGCACAGCTTGGTGTCATCTGCAAGGACTGAAATGGGATTTATAATCCCAGACCCTATATTGTTTATAAATATATTAAAAAGTAAGGGTCCCAACACTGAACCCTGGGGTACACCACTGATGACCCTAGACCATTCAAAGTATGAATCATTAAACACTACTCTTTGAATACGATCTTTTAGCCAGTTTCCAGCCATTTACAATACAGATTTTTCCAAGCCTGTAGACTTTACCTTACACATTAGCTGTGTGCGGGGAACTGTGTCAAATGCTTTTGCAAAATCCAAGTATACCACGTCCACCGCCACCCCTCTGTCCAAGGTTTTGCTCACCTCCTCATAAAAAGAAATCAGATTTGTTTGACAACTTTTGTCTTTCATGAATCCATGCTGTCTGTTGCTTAAAACATTTTTTCCAGGAAGAACTTATCTATATGGTCTTTTATTAAACTCTCCAGTATCTTCCCAACTATAGAAGTTAAACTAACAGGTCTATAATTACTTGGTAAAGATTTTGATGCCTTTTTAAATATTGGCACCACATTGGCCAGTCATTAAAGAGTCCCTAAAAATTAGAAACAATAGCTTTGAAATGACAGAGCTCAATTCTTTAAGGACCCGTGGGTGTATGCCATCTGGTCCAGGTGCTTTATTCACCTTTATTCTGTCTAAATATTTTTGGATCATATCAAATGTGAGCCAATGTGGATCATCTGGAGCTGTGTCAATACCATCCCCCATGCTCCTTTGTATACACAGAGCTGAAGAAGGTATTTAATAAACTTGTCTTCTCTTTGTCCCCTGTCACCCACTCTAGATTATTTTGGAAAGGGCCTACATGCTCAGACCCGACGTTTTTTTATTAATATATTTATTATTATATTTATCTAGAATATTTTATACACCTGTGGACATGGAGGTGATTGGAACACCTGAATCCAATGATTTAGAGGAGTGTCCCAATACATTTGGCAACATAGTGTGCATGTGTGTGTGTATATATATATATATATATATATATATATATATATATATACACACACACACAGAGGCGTATTTACCACAAGGCAATCAAGGCATTTGACTAGGGTGGCATTTTTTCAGGTGGGCAGTGGCATTTTTGAGAGGGGCAGCGGCATTTTTTCAGGGGGGCAGTGCTACCCCCGAAAGAAGAGATGAGGAAAGGACATACTGCCATTTGTAGACACTATAACTTTCACATAAACCAATTAATTTTCATGTATTGGGCTTTGTTTTAGCAAAGATATGTAGCAGAATACATTTTGGCCTGAATTTATGACAAAATTTTATTTTTACATTTTTTTTTACTGGATATGTTTTACAGCAAAAAGTAAAAAATATTGTTTTTTTTTTTCAAAATTGTGTTTTTTTTTTTGTTTCTAGTGCAAGAAATAAAAACACACAGGTGATCAAATACCACCGAAAGAAAGCCCTATTTGTGGGAAAAAAAGGGCATAAATTTCATTTATGTACAGCGTTGCATGACCGCGCAATTGTCAGTTTAAGTAACACAGAGCCGTATTGCAAAAAATGGCCTGGTCAGGAAGGGGGGTAAATCCTCTGGAGGTCAAATGGTTAAAGGCTTGCATCAGGCTGACAGAGGCAATTGAAAAACATATACAATAAGACATACAATAATCTGTTTGAAAAGCACACTTTCTTTCTGCAAGTATATTTTAATGCTAACAGTACAGATTCTTTAACCACTTGCCTACCAGGCACTTATACCCCCTTCTTTACCAGGCCAATTTTCAGCTTTCAGCGCTGCCGCACTTTGATTGACAATTGCGCGGTCATGCAACATTGTACCCATATGAAATTTTGATCATTTTTTTCTCACAAATAGAGCTTTCTTTTGGTGGTATTTAATTGCCACTGGGCGCTTTACTTTTTGTGCTATAAATAAAAAAAGTGCAAAAAATTTGAAAAAAAAAAAGTTTATTTGTTTCTTTTATAAAATTTTTCAAACAGGTATTTTTTCTCCTTCACTGATGTGCGTTGATGAGGCAGCACTGATGGGCACTGATAGGTGGTACTGATGGGCACTGATAGGCAGCACTAAAGGGCACTGATAGGCAGTACTAATGAGGTGGCACGGATAGGCGGCACTGATAGACAGCACTAATTAGGGGTCACGGATAGGCGGCACTAATATGCAGCACTGATAGGCGGCACTGATAGGTGACACTGATTATGGGTACTGATAGACGGCACTGACTGGCATCACTGCTGGGCACTGACTGGCGGCACTGACTGGCACAACCCCTGGGCACTGACTGGTGGCGCTGACTGGCAGCACTGCTGGGCTGCACTGGTGGGTGGCACTGGTGGGCAGCACTGGTGGGCACTGGTGGGCACTGGTGGGTGGGCACAGGTGGGTGGCACTGGTGGGCACAGGTGGGTGGGCACAGGTGGGTGGCACTGCTGGGCACATGTAGGTGGCACTTCTGGGCACAGGTAGGTGGCACTGCAGAGTGGCACAGGTGGGTGCACTGCTGGGCACAGGTGGGTACACTGCTGGGCACAGGTGGGTGCACTGCTGGGCACGGGTGGGCGGAGCTAGTGGGCGCACTGCTGGGCGGAACTTGCGGGTGGCACTGCAGGGCACCGATCATCAGGGCACTGATCATCAGTGCCCTGATGATCGGTGCCGATCCCCGCTCTGACAACTGCCGGTTCTCGGCAGTACTTTCCTCACGATCTGACAGCGTGAGGAAAGTGCAGCCGAAAACCAGCACTTGCATTTCCCTGTGATCAGCGTGTCATTGGACACCGCTGATCACGTGGTAAAAGGCCGCTGTGATTGGCCTTTTACCACATCACGTGATCAGCTGTGTCCGTAGGACACAGCGATCACGGAGATCGCCGGGTGCGCGCCCCCTGGGGCGCGCAGGAGAGCGCGTTCTGGGAGGACGTCATATGACGTCCACCACCCAGAACTGGCCGGCCGCAGTGCAGCCGTCATTCGGCTATCTGCGGTCGGCAGCTGGTTAAATGATGAATAATCTGTCATTGATCTGCTTAATATACCATTGAAAGAGTTTTGTTAAATCTATTTGATAAGTGTAAAAATAAATACCTGTTGATCATGTGAAAAATTCAAATATGTCCTGTGCACACTTCCTGTGTTATCTGAAAGAGCGTAATTAGCCCTCCAAGTTCTTATCTTGGCCTACTGAACAATTAAATCCCTATATTGTGGATATAAAAAGACTGGGAGGGCTTAAGTAGTTTAGCAAAAGACCTCTAGGCTGGGCTGACACCATTCAGTCCACAAATATGCTGTTTTTGTCAGCAAAATAAGAGGAAATAGAAAATCAGTGGCTGAGTGCTATTCTGGCAAATCAATAGGTATTTTATTATACTCGCAGCATTTTGGGGATAAAACATGAGGAAATCTGTATATAGCAAAAGTGTACTTCAGATTTTTTTGCCATGACATACACATTAATATGCTGATCTCAGGTCAGAGAATGTTTGCGGGTTTCAATTTTAGCCAACCACTTGTAGTTGGTAGATTTTCCTAAACTATAATATACATTTATATTTTTTTTATTATATATAGGTCTGGGTGAACTATTTGTATTTTCTGCTATTGGACATGACATAAATTATTACATTTCAAACTAAAACATTTTGGGAGTAAACGATAAACTGTATCCCCTAAGTCAGTTCATTTTTCCTCATGACCAAACACCATTTGAAAATGTGTAAATGAGTTTCAGTCAATTACAAAAATCACAAACAACATATGAAAAAAAAATTAAAATCATTAAAGTCAGATAATTTTGCATCACTAATGTGCAAAAATGACATTAGAAAGAGTCTTACTTTACTCCTACATGAGTTGACAAAATTGAAATTGTTTTGCTTGTGTTTAAAACTGCTTGTGGGTGTACTTTTTACAAATGTAGAAATATTATTCAATTCTCATATATTAGTTACAGCTACAAAGAGGCTAATACAAATAAAAATAACCAATTGACTCTAAAATCTAAATAAATATATTGTTTTTAGAACATAACAGTTACAAAATGTTTGAAGAGCAAAACGACTGATTTTCAATTTTCTAGATTAAGGCTGGCCATACATTAAGCAATTTTCTTATCTTCAACCATGAGTAGTAGGAAAGAAGATTGCTTGATTCCTCAACACAGTCACAGAAATAAAGATTGCATGCACAATACTCACCTCAAATGACAATCCTTTTGAAATGTCTATAGAAGCAAGGAAATACAACCTCAAACATGTCACCTCATTGAGTTCTTTTCTACTGTCCAATCTTTTGGATGGTCCGCTAACAGGTTCCCCAAAGCAAACAGGCAGAACATGTACCTTTTTAGTGTTCTGTCAGCAGTCAGTCTTTTCCCCCAGCCGCAGCCTCTCACAGCAGAGAAAGGAAGAGTTTCGAGCATCAGTCAGCTCACATATATAAAGGCTTGTGGACAGCTGAGACTAGGAACATGTGGACCTAGGAAGAGAGGCTTTATTCCCCACAAATTTCTACAAAGCCTCGGGCTCCAGAGGAGAGCTTAAGATGCTGAAAAAACAAAGGGTGTTATCTCCATATCAGTCATAAACCCTGGAGCTCCATATTATTTGTAGGTGTGAAACCTAGGCGACACATATATACTGTCCACAATCCTATTAGTCAGTGCCACACAATGTGTATAGACATGAACAGATCAAGCAATGCCTCAAATATGTTTTTAGATGGTTTTATTGATTTTCTTGTAATAAAGATTGTAAAAATGTAAAGAAAGATTTTCCAATCTTTGATTGCTGAGACACTTTCTGGTGTTCATGATGATTTGCTTCCTTTATATGGTGTCTTATAGGAGACCACTGGGTTTTTATTTTGCAATTATTTCATATGACACCTCATTGTAAATATTTGTTGTACTATAAATGGTTTCGCTGTAAGCAGTGGTCTAATTTTTTTTTTGTTAGTTTTGCTTTTTGCATGTACATTCTTTCTCATTATTGGCATGCCTAGAATAGACCTGAGTTGTGGGGACGAGGTCATTCCTAAATTACATTATCTATGGCTGTCTAATGGTCAAATGGGCGGGAAAAATGACAGTCGTAGACAGAGCTGTGAATGAAACCTGGAACTACCATTGCTGGAGGAGGGCACACTAGGAGGTAAGTGTGCCATAATAGGCATGCATGCTGTTTATATTTGCACATATAAGAGCCCACCACCACTCCACCTGTTAGTTCCTGCTGCTATTCCTTCCTATAGACCTCCTGCATGTGTTACTGCAAGTAGTGCAGGGATGTTTATGTTTTACTGCACTGGAAAGTAGAACTCTAAAAATGTACCCAAATATCAACCGCAATAATTGCTCCCATGTTAACTCAATATTATTAGGTATTTACAGCAAAGTCAAGTACAGGGATGTAACCATGGATGAAAACTTGGCATCTTGCACAGTGGCTAAGTGGTTAGCCCTTCCGCTTGGCAGCACTAGGATCTTTGGTTCGAATCCCGACCGTGGCACTGCCTGCCTGGAGTTCGCATGTTCCCCCTGTGTCTGCGGAGGTTTCCTCCCACACTCCAAAGACATGCTGGTAGGTTAATTGTCTGCTGTCTAAATTGGCCCTAGTATGTGTATGTATGAACGTGAGTTAGGGACATTAGATTGAACACGCCTTGAGGGTAGAGACTGATGTGAATGTATAATATATATGTGAAGCGCTGCATAAATTTACAATGCTATAAGTACCTGAAATACATAAATCTTGAGGTGCCAATGGCTCAACAATGTGTTTCAGCAGCACATCCTAAGAGTCTGGGAGCAGCAATAGTCAAATTCTGCTTCAACACTTAAGCATGCCCTACTGCATCCCACAGTGCAATGCAGAGCCTAAGCAACAATTTGCATGTCACCTTCCACTGCCTTGTGAGATGTGCCAGTGGCTTTTCTAAGTGCTGGCATTACTAAAACCATAGAACAAGAAATTGTCCCCATGAATGTGTTGGGACTTTTCAGGTAACATACACAAATCTATATAAACAAATTGATTTTATTACAAAAAGTTAAAAACATTATTAGATCAACATATTGTACAAATAGCTAAAATCAATATATAAAGGTGGTAACAGAGAAACACGCTGACTTGCTGTGAAGGTGTAATTTCCCTCTTCAAGTTGGTCAAGAGAGGAGAGAAAGGCGAATTAACTGGGAAACCCCACCCGTTTCAGAACTAAGTCTTTCCTCAGGGGGGAGCTGACGAAAAGGGATGGTCAAAAAGCATTCTATAGAAAACAACAAACAGTAATAAGATTTTGCAGTTATATAATTTGAAACAATGAGGTTAAAGAAGTATATCTATGTTACATACCATCCAATTCCTTTCAATAAATGTATTCGCCAAAATTGCAAAGGATAGAAAATTCTCCTATTAATGTGTCCACCACCAACATTTCATGGCGTCCCAGGCTAGGTGTAAGCAGATCGTGGGGAGAACAGGGGAAACCCTCAGAATTCTCACACTAGGGTCACCCTATAAAAACAATGGAACTGGATCAAAGACTATGTTGCCAAGGGAACATCTATAGAGAGAGAAAAAATTATTCGCTAAAAAGTATATATTTTGTCAGAGAGAGGTATGCATTAAATTACATATATTAATACCAGTCAGTGAGGGTTCATATATGCAAAGAAAAAAGGAACTCTCTTCATGTATATTTATATTACTTTAGAAATGTTCCCCATAAAATCATGGAAGCCTCAGACATACAGTAAGTTGTAGACCACATATCTAGCACAGGCAAAGATAAAGGTTCAATTAAATAAAGACCATAAAATAGAGCTCTCTATGAATCATCCTTATATTGCTCCAACCAAACAACACAAATCCCAAAAAGGTAGGGACATAGCCAAGATTAAGTCTGTCCTGAGTGGTATTATCCACTGGCACTCAGTCTGTGATGTAGCGGTGGTGCTCCTCTGTTGGACATGTGGGCACTTTGAAATGAGAATTGGCTATATTTTTGGGGGGGACCATGTGCTAGTGGGAAATGAAGGTATATATTCTGGAATTTTGGACAGATGAGCATGGGACTGGTGGGCTCTCTTTATGCTTAAATATCCTTATTTTTGTGTGTTCTCAGTCTTCGCTGCACACCTATTCATTGTTATGTTTGAGCCTTCAAGATATTAGATAGGAGTCCCCTCAGACTTCATCTAGGGTACGTGCCGCCCTTTTTGGGATTCGTGTTGTCTGGTTGGAGCAATATGGCTATGGTTGGTGCACCCTGAAAACACATCTCTTCAGGGAAGCCTACCCCACCCCCTGCTAACTTGCCGACCTCCTCGACTCTTCCTACCACTCCATCCCCCACAGCTATCTCCTCCTGTGCCACCATCCCCTCCCTCCTAGTTTGTTAGCTCCAAACAGCAGGGCCCTCGCACCCCTCATGTTTTGCATTGTATTGGTATTGTTCTGTCACATGTTCTGTCCCCCTTTGTAATGTACAGCGCTGAGCGAACTATTGGCGCTTTATAAATACTGTATAATAATAATAATAATATAAGGACGATTCATAGAGAGCTCTATTTTATGATCTTTATCTGATTGAACCTTGATCTTTGGCTGTGCCTGATATGTGGTCTACAACTTATGTCTGAGGGTTCCATGTTTTTATGGGGAACATTTATAAAGTAATACAACTATACATAAATAGATTTCCTTTTTCTTCCCCATATATGGACCCTCACTGTTGGTATTATTAT